CTAAAAATGAAAAATAAAAAAGATTTTTTAAAAAAGGGATTGATAAGATGTTGGTTGAAAAGGGGGAAAAGAAAAATTAAAAAAAAAAGTTAAAAAAATTAACTTTAAAGACTAAAGAATCATGGGAAAAAAGCATGAATTCTATGTGCAGTATTCCCCTAGCGCTGGAGTTCTCCCGTTCTCAATGATTGGTAAACTTGGTCTTGGCTTGCTGGCTGTTCGTGCTGATCTTCTGGGGGAGAGGCCTGTTGCTGTGGTTCCCAAATGTCTTTGCCGGAGGCGGAATTGCCCCGCCCTTGCCGGGTCCCGGCTAAGTAATCTGCTCAGGTTTGCTCTCAGGAGCTTTTGTTCCCTGCAAGCTTTCCGTACAGAATTTGAGGACGAGAGTGAAAATGGTGGCCTCCCAATCTCCGCCCAGAGGAGCCGAGAACTCGGGGCCCCGCTCCTCAGTGCGCCCCCAGAGAAAAGCAGTCACTCCCGTGTCCCTGGTCTCCGGCCGCACTCCGTGCTCACCCGGCCTGTGACCGAGCATTTCAATCTCTGGCACCCGACCTCGTGTGGAGTCTCCAAACCGAGCAGATCCCTGCGGTGCGTTCCCGCACCGCTCCTCCCCGGGGGAGGAAGGGAGGGGAGTGTCTCCGGCTCTGCCGCTTGTCGGGTCCCTGCTGGAGGAGCAGTGGCTCAACTGTGCCGCGGATCACAGTTTATGGCAACCCCGAGCTGAGAGCCCGCGCCTCAGCTCCGTCTCTGCAGCCGGCTTCCCCGCTCCGATACCTGGGAGCTCTGCCGCCCTCAGGCACCCCCGGTCTCTCCGTGACCCCAAGGGTCCTGAGACCACACTGTCCCGCGAGGATTCCACCCCCCGCTTAGCCACTGCAGCGACGTCCCTCAGTGGAGCCGACTTCTAAAAGGTCCGATTTTGTGCTCCGCGGCTCTACCACTTGCCAGAAGCGGCCGACGGAGGCCCCCTTCCCCACCATCTACCTTCCTGAATATCACCTCGGATTCACTTCTCCGCACATTCTGCCTTCCAGAAAGTGGTCGCTTCTCTGTTCAGAGAGTTGTTGCTACTCTCCTCTTCGATCTCCTGTTGAGTTCGTAGGTGTTCAGAATGGTTTGATTCTATTCAGCTGAATTCCTGAGACCAGACGAAATCCAGGTCTCCTACTCCTCCGCCATCTTTCCCCTCCTCTCTGAGCCCAATGGCTTCTAAAAGCAGTAAATCCATCAGTTTCCTGGGTTGTCCTCTTGTAGTTACAAAATCCATATTCGTCATTATTTTTTTATTGAGTACCTACTTGGGTTCCAGGAACTGTACCCAGTACACTATACATATTATCTCATTCAATTTATGTGGCAAGTATAACTATTTCCATTTTAAGTATCAGGGAAAGAAGGAGGCTTAAGGTCTCATATTGGTAATTATCATGGCAGGAATTCAAACATGGACAGTTAATTTCCATTTGAACCCTGTAACTGAATAGACTCTGAGTGCCTGGATGTGCCATATTATATTTGAAATTACCAGTGACCAGTCAATCCACTCCTTTGACAGAATGTTCTGGTTACTAAAATTTTTATCTTTTCTGCATATCTGTCTCTATAACTTTAGTCTTTGTGCTGACTTTATTATATGTTTGTACATATGGCTCACCTTCAGATTAGAGCCTTTTCAGATATTTGAAACCACTTATCATTCCACCTGTTTCATCACCTCAATCCCTTCTTATTTCTTGGATAATGCCCCCAATGTAGATGGATTTGGCACTACGTTGAGAAGCAATTTCATAGTATCTATTTATCTTGGGGTTTCTCATGAGCACCCTCTAAGGCAGGAAGGAAGCTATTATGTTGTACTGACAGATGAGGAAACTGAGCCAGCACAGTGAAGCCCTTTTCTCCCTCTCTTTTACCTCCCTCCCTCCCTCCCACCCTCCCTCCGTTCCTTCCTTCCTGAAATATTTCAAGTACATAATGTTGCATTTGTCCTCTATAGAAGATGATTGACATAGAACCAACTATTTATTGCTTCCTAGTAAGACTATGGCTTGAATTAAAGAAAGGTCCTCCTCATTAGAAGAGTGTGTTGGGTGCCTGGGTGGCTCAGTCAGTTGAGCATCTGACTCTTGGTTTCCACTCAGGTCATCATCTTGGGGTTGTGGGATTGAGCCCTGAGTTGGGCTCTGTGCTCAGCGGGGAGTCTGCTTGAGATTCTCTCTCTCTCTCTCCCTCTGCCCCTCCCCCTGCTCTCTCTCTCTCTCTCTCTCTCTCTCTCAAATAAATAAATAAAATCTTAAAAAAAAGGAAGAGCATGTTATAGTTCAAGTCCTTCATTTAACTGCCTGAAAGCACTTTATGAGAGAAAGCTTTGCTTCTCCTCTTTCTCCTCTTCCTCCACCTTCTTTTCTGTGCTTCAGTCTCACACTGCAGTTGAGAGTCTGGCACATTAAAATAGATTAGCTTTCAGGGGAGGTGGGGGGCTGGGCAAATTGGGTGAAGGAGAGTGGGAGGTACAGCCTTCCAGTTATGGAATGAATAAGTCATGGAATAAAAGGCACAACATAAGGAATATAGTCAATGGTATTGTGATAGAGTTGTCTGGTGACAGATGTAACTGCCCTTGTGGTGAGCACGGCACAATGTATAGAGTCCAATCATTATATTATTTTTTTACACCTAAAACCGCTCTAATATTGTGTGTCAATTATACTTCAATAAAAAATAAACAAAAGATTAGTTTTCATAAAGATGAAGATTATATTGCTTGTGAAATTTTAGGTCTTCTCTGATTTGATTCTTAACCTAGAGCTTGTGTTCTAACTAACAGGCAAAGTATCATTTTGGAAGATTAGGAATCACTTAAATATAGTGAGTTTAAGGCAATATCTATTAAATTAGGTTTGGCTACACCCTGGTGCAAGTAAAGCCCAGCTGCCTGGCCAAGGACAACTCTATCTACATTGTGGCAAATATTGGGGACAAGAAGTCATATAATGCCAGCGACCCTCAGTGTCCCCCCCAGTGGTTGTTACCAGTACAACACTGATGTGGTGTTTGGTTCTCAGGGAAAACTGGTGGCACGCTACCATAAGGTGAGAATTTCTTTTGTTTTTCTGTGGTATGGGTGTAGACTCATCTGTTGAATGTGGGTGAGACAATCATAATGAATGCATTTCTTAATTATGTTTTAGTTGAACAGGGGCTTTCATTTACTTTGGTCTCATATAAGGGTTCTGAGTTTAAATTAATCATAGAATAGAATATGGCAGAATATTGAAACAATGGGATAATAGTCTCACAAGGATTTTAATAGTTTCTGAGAAAGAAGGTGACATGTTGTTTCATCCATGATTTAATACCAGGGTTAGTTTTCTGGCTCAATTCGTTAACATTTTATATGAAGCTTTAGTCAGTCATTCATTCCATTAGGACTTTTCTTTTTTAATTCAAGTAAGCTCTATGCCCAACATGGGGCTTGACCTCATGATGCAGAGATTAAGAGCCTCATGCTCTACCAACTGAGCCAGCTAGGTACCCCCATTAGGACAGTTTTGAATTTTCTAGTTGTTGGTAAGTTGGCTTAAAAGGGGGTTTATGTAAAGAAGAGAAGCCGCCCAAGTCAGTTGATAATTTCAGATAATTATGGAGGACATGGAGTCAGATTGGAACTATGTCAGTGTAACAAGCTATCTCCCTGATTATCCTGAAAGTGCTTATGCTTCGATAAAGTTATATCTAGTTTCTCATGGGAATGATTCCATTGGTTTGAGACCATGCAAAATTTGGAACCAATATTTGTGCGACTTTGTGTCCACTTCTGTAGGGAGTGGAATCTACATACTGGAAGCTGTCCAAGGGTATCACTATGACATGGAAACAGAGAGGGGCCAGCTGATGCTCTCAGAATTGAAGTCCTGGCCCTGTAGTGAACCCAGCTACCCTGCAGCTGTTGACTGGAGTGCTTATGCCAGGAGCATCAAGCCGTCTTGTCTGAGCAGTCAAATTTTCCAGGAATGATTTATTTTGATGGGCTCACCTTCATTGGGCTTAAGAGAAACACGGGAAATTACACAGTTTGCCAGAAAGACCTGTGTTGTCACTTAACTTACTAGATGTCTGAGAAGCCAACAGATGAGATGTATGCACTAGGTGCTTTTGATGGACTGCACACAGTAGAAGGTCAATATTACTTACAGGTAAAAATTGCTTCCGTGTGTTAGAATGGATTTTTTTATTAGTTTTTTTTTTTAATTTTACTAGACCATCACTGCATTTCTTTAAAAATTGTGCTGGATTCAATTAATTGGTATAATGCTAATATTGATTACTGAAATTTTCCCCCATGGAATGCTTTATTTGTTTTAGTTTTAGTAAGAACAGAATTAGTTCTCTTGGCAGCAAAGTAAAACATAAAGCAGATTGATTCGTTCTTGGCCAGCCAGATTCAAGTTTAAAAAGCTGCAACTTCCTTGCATTCTCGTTTTGTGTCAGGTGGCTTTAGAGCTGTGTGTTCCAAACTGCCATCAACTGGCATCCAGAATAAGAATATCATTTCCCACCATGATGCAGTGCAGTAAAGATGTGTGACTGAATTAAAATAGATTTGCTTTAAACAAATATTTTATTAATCGATTCAAGTTAGAATTAGAAATGTTACAGGATTTTTTTCCATCGGTGCCCGGTGTTCTTGGTCATGTTGCTTTGAAGATTGAAGAAGAGGTAGACCAGAGTGATGGGCAGCAAAGCAAGGTTTATTGAGTGATAGCAAACTGATAGTACAAAACTCCAGAGGAATGAAGGGACCTGAAAAGGTTGCCACCAGTGTTTCTAAGTCTAGGGGTTTTTATAGGATTGTTGGTGAGCTGTTTTAGTCTGATTAATCCTCCCTGCACCTGTCATCCAATCAGGTTTTTGTCACATGAGAAAGGATGGAGGGCTCCTTCCAGTGTAAAATCCTCTTAAGTGTGGTTTCCTCTTAGGGTGGGGCCCTTCTCCCTGCCTGCCTGCCTTCCAACTATCCTTCATCAGAAATAACTCTAGGGGCGCCTGGGTGGCTCAGTCGGTTAAGCGTCCGCTCAGGTCATGATCCCAGGGTCCTGGGATGGAGCCCCGCATCGGGCTCCCTGCTCAGTGGAGAGTCTGCCTCTCCCTCTGCCTGCCGCTCCCCCTGCTTTGTGCTCTTTCTCTCTCTGACAAATAAATAAATAGTCTTTAAAAAGTAATAAAATAAAAAAAAGAAATAGTCCTAATTATGAGCAATGGTACTCTGACTTTTAAAACCTAGTTTATTGCTTTTCACTTTATTAAAAAAAAAAAAGACTTAATCTTGACCCATTGAATTGATTTTAGGATTCACTAATGAACTGTAGTTTGAAAAGACTCTGCTTCAGGGGTGTAGGGAACAAAGGCAGGCCACCCCAAGATGAGCCACTTTGGCATGAAGATTATTGTGAGATGAAAAGTAGTCAAAAGCCGGCAGATTCAGAAAAAGCTCCTTACTTCCCCCACAACTGCCTAAAAAGAATTGAGATAGAGAGGATCTGCTCCAGGAGGAGATCTATCACAATAGATAACTATGTCATGACATGAAGTAGGAGTGGCAGACAGGGAGGAACCCCTCACAAGGCCTATTTGAACAAAGTTGTCTATGTCCTTTTGTTTCCGAGTGGCTCAGCAAACATTTGTTTACCAAATGTTTGTTCTTTTCCATCTTCCTGTGAATTGCATTCTTTCTCTTTCAAGTCTCAGACCCCTGAACCTCTCTCCTTACCTCAGGATGACATAGGTACCTCATTTGACCTGACTGCCTTTGGAATTGCCATGTCTGTGTGGATTCCCCGTAAGCACAAAATTAAATTTGACTTTCTCCTGTTGATCTGTCTCATGTCAACTCAGTTCTTAGTCTGGATAGAAGGACCATGAAGGGGACAGGAAATTCTTTCTCCCTGACAGGGGCAACCTAACAAATTTTCCTCTATTCTTTGAGATTGTGTCTCTTGTGGAGAAGATATTGCCAAGATTTCTGACCACCTCTGTCTCTCCTTTGCCTCCATAGATATGCACATTACTGAAGTGTCAAACCACTGACCTGAGAACTTGTGGGGAGCTGGTGGGGTCAGCTTTTACCAAGTTTGAAGAATTCTCCCTTAGTGGCACATTTGCAACACGTTATGTTTTCCCACAGATCATTCTCAGTGGAAGTCAACTTGCTCCTGAGAGACATTATGAAGTAGGAGGAATTCAGGACGATAAATTTCTTTGAGCAGATGGGGTAGACTGGCATCATGAAAATCTTTGAAATTATGACACAGAATTGCAATGCTGTGGCTCACATTATATGGCAAAACTTTAAAGACAAGGGGAACCTATAACACGGAAGGGAGTTGTGATTTTAGATGTCTTTAGGCTGTGATAGGAAATCTGGGGTTCATTTTTCTACATAAATGTGATGTTGTGATCCAAGGCAACAGGAGGGTTATGGAGAATTAAAAAAAGAAACATTGATTGTGAATGATGACAACTAATATTCTCTTTATTTGCATGGTGTAGAAGGCCCAAGTTAAATACATTAAATAATGCACCTACAGCTTGTTTCATGGGTATGTTATTTTAAGAAGTTGTTATAACAAGAGCAATAATGATATTATTATTATGAGTTAAAAGATTTTTTTTTATACATCATCTTTTTTAACCACCTCTGCCATAGTTTACTTTTGCCCTTTCACCTAAATCTCTCTCCTATTCGAACTTTAGATCTGACACATGGGTCTTCTGACACCAAATCCTGTGTGTCTGTTACTATTTTAGAGTAAGGTTGTCAGAGAAGGGCCTCTGGGCTGGAAACCAAAGCTCTGCATTGGAGTTAAGCCTTTGCTCTCTTTGATCAGATTTCAAGAGATGGACGTCTGAGGAGCCGGGGCGGAGCCTCTCTGCCTGTCTTAGTTATGGCCCTGTACAGAAGAGTGTTTGAGAAGGACCCTCCATGCTTAGCGCAAGGACCTGGGAGATGACCATGATCTCCTCCCACGGGCACACTTTCAGGATTGCCCTGGTAAAGAAAGGGAGAAAAAAAAAAAATTCTTCATGTCTGTTTAAAAGAGATGTCACAAACTGGCCGAAACAACGAACTTAAAATTTAAAAAGCGGGGGGATATTAGAGGGGGAGATGAACCATGAGAGACTATGGACTCTGAGAAACAAACTGAGGGTTCTAGAGGGGAGGGGGGGAGGGGGATGGGTTAGCCTGGTGATGGGTATTAAGGAGGGCACGTTCTGCATGGAACACTGGGTGTTATACGCAAACAACGAATCATGGAACACTACATCAAAAACTAATGATGTATTGTATGGTGACTAACATAACATAATAAAAAAAAAGCAGTGGATGTGTCTTGCGTGTTTTACATTTTACATATTTGATTTAGCATAGACTCATTTGTGGGAGCTGCCTTCATCCTCCATGTAGGTGCGATGTAAGTATGTGTAAGCATGGGTGTGTATAGCCGAACATGTATTTAAATGGAGGGGGGGCCTTAGAAAACTCCTTTTGTGTTAACTACTCTAATGTACGTAAATGTTTTTCTGTCACTTATAAATACACAGGGTGAACACTGAATATGCAGAGGGTAGTTGATCCTAGGATTAAGATACAGGAGGTTAAAAAACAAGGTCATCTTGTAAAGTAATTATGAATAACTTTTTTAAAAATTAGGAATAACTTTTTAACTAATTAAAATTGTTACATTATCTCTTTATTCTACTCTTAAGTTGTTTGTATGGAAATTAGATACTTAGAATGGAAATAAAAAAGAAAAAAATTATCTCCTTCGGACCATACCCTGTTGCCTTCTGAAATTATTCTATTGTAAAAGTAAGCCCTCTGGATACTCAGATTCGTGGCAGTCTGTGCGGGACAGGGAGCTTCCTTAGATAGGGCCATCCTGTCACCTTTCCCCTAGTCACCGTTGGTCCCTCAGCCCTGGGGCCCCGAGCTCTTTTTCTCTCCATTGGTCACTGATTAACTCAGGGAAGAGATACACTGGAGAGCAGGGGAGCTCTCGGGTTCATGGGGGAGCGGCTGAGGATCGCTCTGAGTTAGAGACACCTTTTTCTCACCAAGGATATGACAATCGCTCTCCTAGACTTTTCCCAGATGCCTATTTCCATTGGGTTTAATTCAACACAGTTCCGGGAGGCTAGAGATATTCTGGGCAGCAGATAATGACCTTATCTCAGCTCCCATCAGGTCTGGATTCTCTCTCCAAGGGCTGTGATACTCAATCCTAATGGCCTTGTGCTGGTTCTTTGTAGGCTTCTTTCCTGTCTCTCCTAGATAGTTGTCTCAGGGCTGCATCAGTACTGATGGGTGGCCCCAGCCTCCTTACCACCCCACATCACCCCATGCGTCTTACATAAGAGACTTCTGCTCCCTCTCTCTAGCCCCTGGAACTGCAGAATCACCTGACCCAGTGGTTTCTCAGCTCCTAATCACCATGACTAAACAACCAAGCTGCCTCTGTGGCAGTTGTTTTGATCCTTATCTTTTAACACTGCAAGCTTTTTTTTATTTCTTTGACCTATCTTATCTGATCTTATCTCCTGCCCCTCTCACCCACCCCTCTCATTTTATTTACCATGACTTATAAATGAGGAGCTCTGACCGACAGCAATCCTCAGAGCAGTGTCTTCCTACGTTCTTTCTTTGGAGAGAGAAGTCATTCTGGCTTCAACTAGTATTTCTCAGGCAGCAGGTGAGCAAAAACAATTTTTTTCTTTTTATGGGAGCCAGTTCAAGCCACAGAATAATGGTTAGATTAAAAAAATAAAAGTTTTATTAAGTCCTATGGCATATATATATATATACACACACACATACATATATTCTTATTCTTACACTGTAAATGACTATTAATCGGATTAATGTCCATAAGGAAGTCAAAAGTGTTCTAGTCATTAAATATTACTAAGTAACAAGAATTCAACTGAGTAAATTTAAAACATCATATTGGCTTCATTTGATGATTCTTGAATCTGGCAGCATTTCAACTATTAAAAAAGTCCCACTGAGTTTTAGAAAAGGGAAGGTTTTTGAAGGCAGAGAGGGAGTGAAAAAAGAAATTATTTATCAAACAATGCATTATTTTTGGCAAGGTGACTCTCCCAAGGGGAGTTTAAGGATTAATTCCTAGTGCAGGCCCCGGGGGGAAATTCTATGTTAGCTAATTAAAGTTCACATTTCGGGGAGAAGCTGAAGCTGCAATGAGGTTAGGTATTAAGTCTTGGTGGGGTTTAGAGTAAGCGACTCCATTTTGGGCCTATTGTCTTTTTAACAATATTAATATCTAGGCATATATATATATATATACAGTAGGAACACAGAGGCAGATTTCTCATCTTTTATCATACAGAACACACTATAACGCTGACTCAGGAACCACAGGTGAAGGGCTCAGTCCCCCAAACTGCCCTCTCCCACCTTCAGATGCCAATTGTAAGCCCGGGTTCTCACCTGTGCTCCTGATTGCCTGGCTATGGAAAGGAGCATCCAAGGACCCCCTCCTTCAGTTTGGTTAATTTGCTATAGGGACTCACAGACCTCAGAAATATTTTTTTAAATTTTATTTTCAGATTTTATTTATTTGAGAGAGAGTGAGCTAGAGAGAGAGCATGAACAGGGGGAGGAGCAGAGGGGGGGAGAGAACCACTGAGCAAGGAGCCTGATTCGGGGCTTAATCCCTGGACTTTGGGATCATGACCTGAGGCAAAGGCAGACGCTTAACCGACTGAGCCACCCAGGTGCCCCAGAAACATTTTACTTACTGGAATACCAGTGTTAAAAAACAAAAATCGCCTGGGTAAATTTGAAGATCTGATTGGCTTTATTAAATGATTCATGAATCTGGCAAGCAGAGGGGCGCTCCCCTGAACTCAAAAAGAAGTTTTTAAAGGCAGAGAAAGGCACTAAAAAAAAAAAGGAAGAAGAAGAAAGGAATTTATTAGCAAGGAATGCATTGTCTAGGCAAGGTTGCCCTCTTTAGGGGAGGAGTAGGGGCCTATCAGCAAATGTTCTAGAACTGACCAGAAAATTCAATGTTGACTGGTGAAAGGTTATATCCGTTGGGGGTATTGCAACTGCAGTTAGGTTAGATATTAAGTCTTGGCTTACTGACTTGGGGCCTTAATCTAAGTGATGCCATCTTGGTCCTGTGGTTTTCTTTCCAACAATCCCCTCCTTTTGATCAGACTTTCAGCTTAACTGAGAGACGTGATCAAAATTTAAGGCATGAATGCCACTCTCAGCTACTGCTCTGATGTCTTTGAAACGTACATGCTGATCCCTTGTGTAGCTTTCATAGGTCATGACTTTTCCCCTTTGTCTCTGGATATTTACAAGTTATGAATTCAGGTTTATATTCTTTAAGTCAGTCATCCTTGGTTCCTTTTCTGATCTGATGCATTTAAAGGTTTTGAAAGAACATAACGCACCAGGGAGGTTATTCTGATTACTATAAGCGGAATAATTCCCAATGTTTGGAATGCACTTTGAAGCCACGGCTCCTGATGCAGGGACGTTGAGCTCAGTAGTCAAAGAATTCCTGAGACATTTTCACTACAAAAAGGTGCTTTTAGTAAAGCAAGGTAACAGGACCCATGGGCAGGAAGAGCTGTACTTTTGGTTGTGACATGTGATTTTGATTATATATTTTGGAGTTGGGGGGTGGTAGAGATAACAGAAGTCTCTAAAGGGATTTCTATATGTTATGTTAAAGAAGACTTGGAGGATCCTGGAGGTCTGGCTGTTGTCAAGCCAAGGATGCTTTTAGTCTCTGGCAAAGCGTTAATACTAAGGCAGCTATGAGTTTCTTGAGGAATGTCACACTCTGTATGTCTCAGGTATTTATCAGTGGGCTGCAGGTTGTAAGGAAATTTAATTTTATCTACATTTCCCCTGCCTTTGTTCTCCTCATCAGTCCCCAAGACCCAATCTAATCAAAATCAAATAAAAAAGAAAGACCCCATAGAAGGGGTCTTTTTAAGCCAAATGGCTTATTTTGTGATCTTATGTAATTGAGTTTTAATCTTCCCCAGAAGTGTTAATCTGGGGACTGCAGCTGGGGCCAACAGATAATCGAGGGCTAGTCTAATATAAAGAACAACTTTGGTGAGAGCGTCCAAGGATCTTGGTTGGGTAGCAATTGCTTTTGCAGTGGATTCTGTAACAATTTCATGAACTAAGGAGAAGTTCCTGATCACAGCCTCATTTATATTTTCCCTTGCCCAGGAAGTTGGAACCTGCCAAAAGGAGTGAATGGTGAATCGTGAAAGCCTCCTGGTAGACCTTTTCTAACTTGATTATGCATAGTCAGGGGAGTCTACCAATGAGATGTAGGGGCTCAGATTTCAGCTGCCTAGGCTGAAATAAAAGGTTGCTCTAAATTCCAGAGGTTACCCATCTTAGCAATGGCGTGGGAGATAAAGGTGAGGATGTTGTCTTTCTGGGCCAATGCCAGAGTGAAGGAAGGAAAAAGAAGGAGTTTCATGTTCAGTTAAAGTAGAAAATCTTTTTTTTTTTTTTAAGATTATTTATTTATTTATTTGACAGAGAGAGGCACAGTGAGACAGGGAACACAGGCAGGGGGAGGGGCAGAGGGAAAGGGAGAAGCAGGCCCCCCCCGCCCCCCGGTCAGGCAGGGCTTGATCCCAGGACCCTAGGATCCTGACCTGAGCCAAAGGCAGACGCTTAACAACTGAGCCACCCAGGCGCCCCTAAAGTAGAAAGTCTTGATCTGGCCTCTACCAGAAGCAGTCTACCCCAACGTCAGCTACTTTGATTCAGAGGTCTCCAGTGTCTGCACAGGACCAGATGTCAGGTGGAGTCTTCTTTATCTGTGTGATGTGTACCCAAGGCTGAACACAGTCTAGTTTTGCAGCAGTGTTAGTGATCAGGAACACTTGGTAAGGTTCTTCCCAGTGGTGCTTGAGGTCTTGCTCTGATGATGCTTTCAGAATA